TGTGTGTGTGTGTGTGTGTGTGTGTGTGTGTGTGTGTGTGTGTGTGTAGTCCACTGAATAGGCCTTTTGCCACCTTATCACTGCACAGTGAGACGTTCCTGTTGACCAGCCCCATCCATGTACATAGAGCATCCGTGTTGATTTTCAAGTGCCCAATGAAAAGATATGAGCAGACATCTAAGGATTTCAGGTATTTGATGAATACCTCCTACTTGAAAGAGAGACTAAATAATCACACAGATAAAAGAAATCCAGAAGCAACAGGGACAATGTAAAGAATAAAATAAAATTTCAAAAAATGTATCATCATAATAATAATCTGAATGTTTTCGTCATGTAAGAGAAAATATTGCATCCAGGAAATAATGGGATGCTGTGAAAAAGTATAACCAGAGAACAATTAGGAGCTCTAAAATGAAAAAAAATATAGTGACTGAAAAAAAAAATCAACAACAGAAGTGCCAAAAGATAAGATCAAGAAAATCTGGCAGAAAATATAGCAAAAGATACAGTGGTATACAGTAGAAAACTTAAGTTTACAAGGTAAATCCAGGAGATACAATAGACTATTAGGAATTCCAGAAGGAGAAATTAGAGAAAATACCAGGAAAATATAATATTTCTGAAATTAAGAGTACTAGCCTCCAGTTTGAAAAGTTCTAGGGTGTGTCCAGCACAATAAATGAAAAAAATCCCTACTCCTACCCACCTTAAATTGAATAATCACAACACCAGGGTATAGAGATGATTTGAAGAAAAGAGATGAGGAGAAAAACAGATGACATAGCAAGTATTAGGAATCATAATGGCACCAAACTCTGTAGTTAGAGAAAACTGAAAAATAACGGACTTTAAAATTCTGAAGGAGAACCATTAATCAACTCAGAAATCTAAACCCAACCAAACTTTCCAAAAAGTGCCAAGGTAGAATAAAGATAATTTTAGATAAGCAAGAAGTAAAAATTAAATTTTTCTTTTCTAAGAAAGTTTTTGAAAGATATGCTTAAGCCAAATGAGCAGTAAACTCAGGAGACTGGAGATGCTGTACAGGGAAGTGGTGAGGAGTTCCTAGGTCATTTTTTTCCTTGTATAGCAGGTGGAAAGCAGTCATTCCCAACCAGAATAGGTGGCAAAAGGCTCCGGGCAAGAATTCTGCAGGGATAAAGATAGACTTGAAACCTTATCTGATGCCGTCAATGTTTTGGAAAATAAGAATGGAAGAATTTTGACAGTTATGATGGGGGATGTGGACAAATTAAAGATAAATACATAGAAAACAAAGCAAATGAAATTCCAGTAAAACCAAAAAATTTGTGTTTTTTTGGAGAGGGTAAGGAAGGTGTACTACTTGGCTCAGCAGATAGCAAAATTTAATTAGCAATGCAAAACACTATTAAGTTAACTTAGTAAAGCCCTTGTGTATAGTTAGAGAAAGTAGTAAAGGAAAATGTGGTGCAAGTGTGATGTAAGAGAACGAAATCTTTTACAACCAACCTAGGGAATTGATATAAAATGCCAAAATGGCAAAAGGAAGACATAGCAGTGTTACAAACACTGCTAGAGACCTACCTGGGGTCCATTCTTCTCCTAACAGAACATATGGTAGCAACATGCTTAGCAAAAAAATTTTATTTCCTTGCCTTTCTTGTCAGTAAGAGTGGTCATTTTATATCAATCTAGCCAGTGATACATGTGACACATGATCAGAAGTCTTTGGGTGGCAGATGCAGCTGAAATGTGTCCTTTGCCCTTCCTCTTCTTGCCTGGAATACAGTTGAATTGCTGGAGGTGCAGCATCCATCTTGAGACACTGAGGTGACAAGGATGAGAGAGAAAGTCATGTGCTAATGAGGGGAGTTAGAGCAGAAAGGTCTCAGATGGGTCTTGATGGCATATTGGGTCGTGTGCCATCCCTGCTTTGCCTCTGGGCTTCTTTTACCTGAGAAAATCCCTGATTTGTTCAGAAAATTGAGATTTATTCAGAAAATTGAGTCGATTGTTCATAAAGTCGAGATTTGTTTAGAAAATTAAGTTGATCAAGCTACATAAGCATAATAGCTAAAAAATATGGTGGTAAATAATGTTTAAAACAGTTAAAATAATTCAGACTGATTGTATGGGGGGATGGGGAGAGTGTGGTAGAAACTGCTGGGTTTTGGTACAATTGATGCTGCAGTGAGCTCAATTTGATGTCTTGGACCACGCATATGTATTAGTTTAATAAACAGATTAATAAGAAAGAAGACTATCTTCCTGCATGGAACACTTTGATATCTTCCTATTTCACTTGAAATAAAATCCAAACTCCTTTAACAGATTCTTCATGATATGGCTGGCCCCGGCCACCTTCCCTCCTCATCTTTCATCCTCTTCCTCCTCGTCTAACCCCCAGCCGCATTACCTTCTTTCAATTTTGTAAAGGCCCTTTTAGTAAATTTGCACATGAAGTTTCCTCTGGCTCATTCAGGAGCCCAGGAGGAAACATGACAGGCGCAAACTTGGTGACCCAGGAGAGTTTAATAAAGGCGAGATTTAAGGAAACCAACATGGGATGATGCAGTACTTTGGGGCCTACAAGGGCAGGGAACCATCCATCCCCAGGCCTGAACCACCTGTATGGAGAAAATCACCTGACAGAACTGTGGCCTTTAGGAGAATAACGCTGATAGCCCACAGGTATTTGAGCACTGAGAGTGCAGTGCTCACTGTTAATTAAAAGGATTGGAGTGGTTGCTATAGGAGAATGTCTCAATGCACATTAGTGTGAAAGCTTGCTTGCGCTATGTAAAAGTCTCTACCCTTCTTGACTGAGTCTCTGGTGGTCACATGATCAGGGCCTCACAGAGCATGTGTTGAGGCCTCACATAGTAAAAGGCTTCTTTTTAAACAAAATTTTGTTGAAGTATAGTTGATTTACAATGTTGTGTTAATTTCAGCTCTACAGCAAGGTGATTCAGTTATACATATATATATATATTCTTTTTCATATTCTTTTCCATTATGGTTTATCACAGGATATTGGATATAGTTCCCTGTGCTATACAGTAGGACCTTGTTGTTTATCCATTCCATATAGAATAGTTTGCATCTGCTAATCCCAGACTCCCACTCCATCCCTTGCCCACCCACTCCCCTTGGCAACCACAAGTCTATTGTCTATGTCTGTGAGTCTGTTTCTGTTTCATAAAAGTTCATTTGTGTCATATTTTAGATTCCACATATAAGTGATATCATATGGTATTTGTCTTTCTCTTTCCGACTTACTTCACTTAGTATGATAATCTCTAGTTCCATCCATGTTGCTGCAAATGGAATTATTTTGTTCTTTTTTGTGGCTAATATTCCATTGTGTGTGTGTGTGTGTGTGTGTGTGTGTATACCACATCTTCTTTATCCATTCATCTGTTGATGGACATTTAGATTGTTTCCATGTCTTGGCTATTGTAAATAGTGCTGCTATGAACATTGAGATGCATGTATCTTTTTGAATTATAGTTTTGTCTGGGTGTATGCCCAGAGTGGGATTGCTGTATCATATGGCAACTCTGAGGAACCTACATACTGTTTTCCATAGTGGCTGTACCAACTTACATTCCCACCAACAGTGCAGGAGGGTTCCCTTTTCTCCACACCCTCTCCAACACTTATTATTTGTAGACTTTAGTAAAAGGCTTCTTGGACACGAGTATCCAAGTTCTCACACAGTTCAGCACTTGAATTTAAAATGAGGGCACAATCAGTATTGACTTGCGAGGTGCCACTGGCAGACTGGCCCGTGAAGATCACCCTGTCATAGCCTCGGTTCCTTGCCCTCCAGAGAGCCGACACCCCTTCACTGGGGAGGATGAGCAGGACAGACAGAGACACCCGGCCCTCCCAGAACAGGGTGAAGCTGACAAGGTAGGTGCTATTGTTGAAGTCTGTCACCTTTCCCGAAGCGCCTGCCTTCAGGGCTGGGGAGGACATCCTGGCCCTCAGGAAATCCCCGCCATATTCCTTGCTGCGTCCCAAGTGGTTCCTCACCTCCAGCAGGACGTCTAGCTGATCCCCCCTGCAGTATGTGTCTCGAGGGCTGAGGAGGGTGGCTTTGCTGTGTGTGGCGCTGGTGGTGGAGCTCACGTGGGTGAAGGGTCTGGGTGGGATCAGCTGGTCTAGTTTCTCCTTGATCCCCTTTATTCTCAGCTCAGTCTCTGTTGGTGAAACTGCTGGATCCAGTGGTACTTCATGGTGTAAGACCATTTTGAAGGTATTTCTGTGATGCATAAGGGAGGCATCTCTTATTCACACCAAACTTGAAATGACAAAGACTGAGACATATTCTGTGTACACAGCTGAGCCTGTCTCTGTTAACCTTAAGGTTGGATTTATATCTTTATTAATATATTACCACCAAAGAGTCCAGTCCAGGAATTTCCATAATTAAAGTGCAGAAAGCTTTTGGTAAAACCTATGTGTCAGTTGTTCCATTACTATTCCACTACTATTCCATAGGCTATTAAAGCCCATTAAAAAATATTTAAAGATATTAAAAGAATTCTTTTGATTAAGAAGTGGTTACAACAGTACATTGAAAGAATTAAATATTAAGAAATATTTCACTATGTGTCCTAATAAAATGAAAAATCATAATAAAAAATAAACATTTTTAATAGTGAAATGTCAAGTTTTTTTGGTAGGTACCGCATAAACAAGGTACAGAATTAAAAAGATACAAAATGGAAAGAAGTATGGAAGGAGCCTCCCTCTTTCATTCCTGTCTCCTGCCGCACAGTTTTCCTCCCAGGATTAATCACTCTTATCTCTTTTATAAATATCTTTCCAGAGCCTATGTATATATACACGTGTGTGCACATACACACACACACTACATATATTCTCTTTTCTTTTTACGTAAATGGTAACATTATATGCATTGTTCTGTGCCTTGCTTTTTAATGTAAGGATATATTCTGAATATCTCTTCATTTTAACACATACTGAGCTGCTTCAGTCATCCATTGAGATGGACACCAAGTATTTCATTGAATGGATGTATCATTCTTTAACAGTCACCTGTTGGTGGATGTACAGATTTTCCCCATTTTCTGCTAATATGGAAATTAATAACCTTGTACATTTACTCGGAAGCGGAATTACTGGGTTGAAATTTAAGGGCATTTTTTAATGTGTATGTTCTAAAATATGGAAAGGTTTGTGGGTTTTTTCTTTTGACCACACCACACAGCACGTGGGATCTTAGTTCCCTGACCAGGGATGGAACTCATGCCCCCTGAAGTGGAAGCGCAGAGTATTAACCACTGGACCAGCAGGAAGTCCAGGTTTGTGTTTTCGTTCTCGTAATTATCTTTACATAATATAACAAATATGTGCAATAGATTTACATAACACATTTAATATTCTTTTTTCAGCAATATCTGTTGACTCCCTACCATAAGCAGTGACCAAAATTATTTACACTGTCTTGCCCCAGTTTCCTCCTCTCCACTACTGTATTTTTGTTCTTTAGATTATTTATCTTTGTGTTCACCCTATTTCCTTAAAAGTGTGTGTTTTAATAAAGTTATATGTATTATATGTATAACTATATACAGAATATTCTATATATACTATGATATATATATAGTACTATATACTATATATAATATATATTATCTATAATGTATAGCATATTATACTATAGTATATATAAGTACTATAATAAATATATAATTGTATTATGTATAACTTGTTTATTAAAACACATATTTTTAATATTTATGTATATATATGTGTGTGTACTTATTAGCTTTAAAAAGTATCTTTAAATACCAGGCTGAAAATGATAAAGAAATCTCTCCACCTGCCCTCCACCATCTTTTGTTATTTATAACATTTCTGTGTTATCAGAGTTTATAATATTTGTGTGTCAGAACACACAACATTTATGGTTTTCCACCATAATCTCCCTAGTTTTGTTTTGGTTTTGGTCAGTACTATAGTTTAGTGGATTCAGTAATTGTTGTCATTCTATTTGTAAGAGTTTTTCATCATTTATCCCTTGTTTAACTGAGGCTGGTCTTCTACATTTTAAAAAGAAGTGTTCATAAGGACTATATCACCTGTGTTTGTTGTAATAGTTAGATTTTTTTAAAAAAAGTTTGAATCTATAAATAACCTGAGATTCATTTGATACGTGGTATAAGGTGAGAATACAAATTAACTTGTAATCTCCAGCAGTGTATGATATCTAGAGAAGCAATTTTGCTTATTATTTCTTTAACCTTCAGAAAAACGCAACTGTACAAGGGACAAATTAAGAATTAAAATATGCTTTCCTTCTAGGAAACTGAGACTTCAAACAGAAAAACATGTTCAATGAATTTGAGGATTTAGGGGAGAAAACAGTTCAAGTAATTAGCTACAGAACCTATGTTGGGAAGAAAAGGAAAATTGGGGCCAGGCGGAGTCTTATGAGTTGAAAGAAAATGAAAGAATCAAGGAAACAGTGCCTGGGACATAAAAGGCTTCAAGACATTTTTGTTTACTGGATTAGTGAGTGAATTCAAGGTGTAATGAGAGGGAGAGTACAGGCATACCTTGGAGATATTACAGATTTAATTCCAGATTGCAACAAAGCGAATATCTGCCTTAAAGTGAGTCACGTGAATTGTTTTCCCACTCCATATGAAAGTTATGTTTACACTATACTGTCATCTCTTAAGTGTGCCATAGCATTATGTCTAAAAAAACAATGTCCATACCTTAATTAAAAAATACTTTATTCTGGGCTTCCCTGGTGGCGCAGTGGTTGAGAGTCCTCCTGCCGATGCAGGGGACGCGGGTTCGTGACCCGGTCCGGGAAGATTCCACATGCCGCGGAGCGGCTGGGTCCGTGAGCCATGGCCGCTGAGCCTGTGCGGCTCCAGACTTTCTTGCTAAAAGTGCTAACCATCATCCTGCCTTCAGTGAGTTGTCATCTTTTGGCTGGTAGGGGGTCTTGCCCTGACGTTGATGGCTGCTGACTGATCAGGGGGGCGTTATTAATTGGCCTAATTTCAATACTGTTGTGTCTCAGAATAGAGAGGCCCGAGGAGAGGAAGAGAGGGGAATAGCTGGTGGGTGGACCAGCTGGAACACACACAACACTTATCAATTAAGTTCATTGTCTTATATGGGTGCAGTTTGTGGTTCCCCCAAACAATTATAAGAGTAACATAAAGATCACTGGTCATATATTGCCATAACCAATAAAATAATAATGAAAAAGTTTTAAATATTGCAAGAATGACCAAGATGTGACGCAGAGATACCAAGTGAGCAAATGCTGTGGGAAAAATGGCACCAATAGACTTGCTCAAGTCAGAGTTGCCACAAACCTTCGATTTGTAAAAAATGCAATATCTGGACTTCCCTGGTGGCCCAGTAGTTGAGACTTCGCCTTCAAATGCAGGGGGTGCGGGTTCAATCCCTGGTCAGCGAATTAAGATCCCACATGGCTCGGGGCCAAAAAACCAAAACATAAAACAGAAACAATATTGTAACAAATTCAATAAAGACTTTAAACTTGGTCCACGTTAAAAAAAATAACTTAAAAAATGCAATCTCTGCAAAGTGCAATAAAGCAAAGTGCAATAAAACAAGATATGCCTGTATTAAGTGTCTGTGGCTAAAAAGTGTGAGATACCAGTTGGGTGATAACAAGGTTCCAGGTGTGGCCTGCACAGTGTGTTGTCAAGATATATTAGATATGAAGGTCCCTGGTATGTAGAAAGAAAAAAATCACCAGAAGGCTTGAGGTTTGCATTGATTTGGATGTGGGATCTAAATTCTTTCTGGGCAATGGAAGAATTTTTTGGGAGGCGATGAAGACTTAACCAGCTACATAATTACTTTGTGAATATGAGGAAACAATCAGCTCTATGAGGTAAGTCCTATGTTATAGTTATTTCATAGATTAGGAAATGAAGCAGGAAGATATTAACTAATTTGCCTATGGCCATAAGAGGAATAACTGCCAAAGTCAAGATACAAGTCCAGGCAATCTGACTCTCAAGCTTGTGATCTGACCATACTGCAGCCCCACCTCCAAGTGTGTGCGTGTGTGTGTGGTGGTGGTGGGGGGGCAGGTGTTGTTCGTTTATGTGACTGTGACCCTAGGGGATGGTGCAGAGGCTGAGCAGCATGATACTCCTAGATTTGGTCACATCAACCAGAGCCTGTCCTGTAGGGCAGCTCAGGGAGCTCTGGAGTCTGTCCTGCATGTGTAGTTTAGAAGGAGACTGTTCCATTCCATAGTTACCCTCCTCCCCTAAGACTGAGCTGGGTCGCAAGGGGAGGAGACTGAAAAATTTTTGAAACTCTTAGGCATTTCAGAAACTGTGATATTTCTTTAAAAGGTACTGGACAATTTATCCAGTTGTTCAACAGACATTTTAGAATCTGTCTTTACTAAGCATAGTAAGGGGCATTCAAAGCAAGATCCCTACTCAAGAGTAATATAAAATTTAGTTGGGGACACAGGTTAAGGCAAAGTCAGTTTAACTCTATCCATCTCATTTACTTTAGTCTCTCAAGTTACAAAATTGGGTGTTAACAACTGAGGGAATATTAAATCTTTCCCAATTAAAAAAACTTTCCCACCCTCAGTATATCACCAGGCAATTTAATGCCATGTTCTTGGTCTGACCTGGGATAGGCTGAATTCTGAGAGAGGTTTTATTGAGAAAGTGCAGAACCTGAACCTTTAAAAAAAAAATCTTTGTGGAATTCTTCAGTTGTAAAGATGATCCATACATGTAGCCCTAATATAGGTGCTAGCAGTGTTTTACGAATCATCTTATTTGAAAACAAAGCAGACAAGGGAGGGCCTGCATACTAAGGCACATGGAAGACGAGCCCTTTTGTACATGCTGTTCCTTCCAGAACGCTTTCCCTCTAGGTTGCTCCCTTTGTAACCCTTCTTTTGCGTCCCTGAATTCTACTCATTTTCTGGTATTATTTCAGATATTACTTCCTCCAGAAGCATTCTCTGGACTCAATGCTGGGGGGTGACTCTGTTTCCCCTAGCATCCTTTCGTAGCAGGTATCACACTGTATTGCAATAGTTTGATACTGACTGGTATTCTCTCTTGTTTAACATTATGTCCACACCCCGAGGCCGCCATATAATAGTTGTTGAGTAAACAAGTGTTCATTTAATGAATGATTGTCAGAGCAGAACCTCGTTCTTCCTACAGTTGCTTCAATATCTTCTTCTTTTTTTAAAAAAAATTAATTAATTAATTTATTTTTGGCTGCATTGGGTCTTCGTTGCTGTGCACGAGGCGGGGCTACTCTTCATTGTGGTGCGTGGGCTTCTCATTGCGGTGGCTTCTCTTGTTGCGGAGCACAGGCTCTAGGCGTGAGGGCTTCAGTAGTTGTGGTGCACGGGCTCAGTAGTTGTGGCTCACAGGCTTTAGCATGCAGGCTGTTGTGGCACACGGGCTTAGTTGCTCCATGGCATGTGGGATCTTCCCGGACCAGGGCTCAAACCCGTGTCCCCTGCGTTGGCAGGCGGATTCTTAACCACTGTGCCACCAGGGAAGTCC